CTGCTGGCATAGTGGTTAAAGCATTTGGCTGCTAACCCAAAGGACAGTAGTTTGAAGTCACCAGTGGGAGAAGGATGAAGCAGTCTCCCTTCTGTAAAGATTTACAGCCTTGAAAACCCTACGAGCACAGTTCTAGTCTGTTCTAAAGTGTAGCTAAGAGTCAGAATCAAGTAAAGGGGGTTTGTTTTTATATATGTACAAATAGATGAATAGATGCTTAGAAATAAATATGAGAATGATGTTAATCTAAGCTTGGATGTGTTTTACATATCCCAACTGTATTTAATTTTAGCTGAAGTTTATAGCAGAAAAATGAAGTGAAATGAGAGTAAAATTCTACATTTCAAATTTCAGATACAGTTTTATCATTCAAAGGACATTAGATTCCTTTAGTGTAAAAAAAAAGCAAAAATATGAAAAGTATGATAAAATTGAGTCATAATACTTACATTATTATAAATACTTCTTCAATTTATTCAATATGGATATCCCATGACAAAGATTATAAGATTTTCAAAGTTCCTTTTACAGCCTCCCTATTTGCTAAGTTTTGTTCTTTATCATATATTTTTCTACCATGCATCCATCAGTTTGCAATACTGTAGTGACTTGTGTGTTGCTATGATGCTGGGAGCTATGCCACTGATGTTGCAAATACAAACAAGGTCACTCAAGTTGCGCAGGTTTTAGTAGAAATTCCAAACTAAGATTGATTAGAAAGAAAGACCTGGTGATCTTCTTCTAAACATTAGGCAATGGAAACCTTATGAGAAACAACAGAACACTGTCCAAGTGACTTGTTTTTGGACACAACTTCAGCAGGGGTTAGTTACTGGAGAAGGACATCATGTTTGGTGAAATAGAGTGGCAACCATGGGAGGGATACCCTTAAGAGAGATGGACTGGCACAGTAGCCACATCAGTGAAGTCGAATATGCCTGCAATGTCGAGGCTAATGCAGGACTGGGCAATGTTTCGTACTATCGTACATAAAGTCACCATGAGTCAAAATAGCTTCTACAGCAGCTATCTATACTATTTTTATTTATTAGCATTATAATATTTACTTTCAGTACTTTTAGTTGTTTAATCTTATTTTTGGAATTAAATCAAATCAGTGTTCAACAACAATCCTTTTCTCCTTGTTTCTCCATAATTAACTTCTTTTTGTCTCAGAGTTTTTTTTTTTTCTGGATTTCATCATTGCCAGATATTTTCTAGTATAACCATGGATGATCTGTTCCCTGAGTTCTTCCATGTTTATACCTCAGTGACATATTAACTATCAAATTGTTTTCTGTATCCCTGAGAATTTTGTAGACATTGCTACTAGCAATAGTCTGAAGTCAGCCATTTTTTTTCTTCAGTGCAAATAAACTCCTTTTTTTATACATGTCTCCTGATGATTTCTATCTTTATTTGTTTTGTTTTTGGTTGTTGTTGAGAACATACAGAAAAATCAAACACCAATTCAACTGTTTCTAGATGTACAATTAAATGGAATTGTGTAAATTGCATTCTTTGAGTTGTGCAACTGTTGTTACGCTCCTTTTCTGATTTATTTCTCTCCCATTAACCAACTCTCTGCCTCCTAATTTACCTATCTAGTCTTTAAAGTTGCTGTTGTCAATTTGCTCCCATAGAAATAGTTCTTAAAAGCATGTATGTTCAAGGCAGATATTCTTTACTAGTTAAGTTAAATCACTGTTTGGTTTTACGATTTTGGAGATTATTTTTGCTTTAAGTTTTAAGACAAATTCATCTTTTCCCTGACTATTACAAATTAAAAATTCTGTGTCTTGATATTAATTATTTTATCTCAATTATTCCTGGTATAATGTATGTTCTTTTGATGTGAAGTTTTAGCTATTATCATTTTCTCTCTTATTATGTTATCATTATATCTCATATTCAGTTATTTCTCATTTCAAAAAAAATATTCTGTTACATACTCTGAATGTTTTTGTTTCTTTTTATTCTCCATTTCCTGGACACTTATGATATACATAAAATGCATATCTGTTTTGTCATTTTCCCAATTCAGCATAACTCATAAAAAATACAAAGCCCTCAGTAGAGGATGATACTTCAGCAGCATGAAGACAGAGCTTTTAGTCTAGCAGAGAATATCTTCTTTTACTTTTGTCATGCTTGCTTTTCAACCTGGATGGTATTAGTGAGACCTGTTATCTTTATAGATTCAACTTGTGTTCAAGAATTTCTCATGCGGATGGAACCATGAGTAAGAGCAAGTAGCCTCACACTTTGCTACAGTCTACTCTCAGGTTCTTTCTTGACAGACCCTTTTCAAGATTTACAGTGTAAAACTATTCTCACTTTTCTTGATCAGTTGTTGCTAGGGAATATTCCACCATTTCACTGAGTTATATGTTGAACAATTAGGATTCTGTGATAATTCTTCTTTGTACAAATTTTAAAATGAATGGCTCTGATCTATATTTTAATAGCAAATTAATTTGAAATTTAATTTTACTTGAGTAAGTCTATATTTATAATTAATATATTTTCTTAAGTGCAAAGGAATTCACTCATTCACAAATGTTCTCATTTAATATAGTTTTTATTTATTTCATTGCAAATGCTGTCAAATTAACACCAATAAACTTTTCTCAAACAATAGAAAAATAAAACAGTTGGATATTAAGGATATCATATAATTAAATAGATATTATTTTAAGGAAATTATTATATTGTATTTAGCTTTAAAATGTTTTTATATTCAACCTATTGCCAAGAGGGACCAGAAGGCCTATAAGAAAGACATACACAATAGGACTAATAAAAACTAAGCCAATAATAATGGTCATTGGAAGTGTCATAACTGAATCCCAAAACTGTTTGTAAGTGTTCAATTAGAAAAAAATAATTTAATTACATCTTTAATATGTCATGTTACATACCTATTCCATGGTGATGATAGAGCATGGAGGTAACACCATCAAAACGAAATCCATCAAAGGCGTACTCTTCCAACCACCATCTTATGTTTGATAGAAGGAATCTTAAAACTTCCCAACTAAAATTTTAAGAATATATACTTAAGCACAATATAAATAGTGTTTTTCCAATTCATTTTATATCATGTTTGCTAAAATAATATTAGTTAAAACTATAAAATGCTGTAATCTCAAGAATTGTTGTTGTTGTTGTTATGTGCTGTCGAGTCAGCCCTGACTCATAGCGACCCCTCCTTGGGTTTCCGAGGCAGTATCACTACGGAAGTAGGATTGCCCAACCTTCCTTCCGGGGAGTGGCTGGTGGGTTTGAACCGCCAGCCTTCTGGTTAGCAGTCAAGTGCCTTAGCCACTATGCTACCAGAGCTCCCTATCTCAAGAATAATGATGTTTAAAGAAATACATCATTGAAAAAGCAGAAAACTAGTAATGGATACCTACCTAATTCACCTGATGAAACTTATTTTAAAAATTCATTAAATTTATTACAAATTATTTAAATTTCCTTTAGCCACAAAAATCACTAAATATCTAAGGAAAACAAAAGAGCAGAAAACAATATGTATACCCAAGGGTAGGGACTGTGTCTTTATCAATGCTATTTCCTCAATAATCAGAACACTTATTATATGGTAGCGCTCAATAAAATGTCTGTTATCAATCTCTGAATTTCCATCAAAGTTTTTCATACAATATAAACATAGCTGTATGTTTTTTCATCCTTTTAGAGAATGTATTTTTATTGTCAGTAGGAAAATTGCATTCAATGTTTGTCTCCTTAAAAGATATCCTCATGCTACAATTTCAAACAGATACAACTCAGAATGAAAAAAAAAAAAAAGAACATCAACCTTGTGATAAGTAATATAACATTTACTAGATTGTTATTTTCTAGAAGTGAAAACAAAATCTAATTACTAAAAAACATGTTTATTAAGGAAAAGTTCTACAAGTTAAAGAACCTGTGTATCCATAATCCAAAAAAGAAAACAAAGAACAAAAACAGTACAAATCAATTAAAAACATCACATGAAATAAGACTATTTTGGACAACTGAAAAGAGGGCATCATCAATGAGTATATTCTTTAGTTATACAGTTATGGTTGAGTTCTCTATCTTATTATAACAGTGGTTTTAAGATTTTAATACCTCATTTAGTTTAATGACAAAGCTCTAATAGTGTACACAAATCTTTAACCCAGGTGAAATTTATGTACATATTTTTAAAGGCAGCATATAGTAAAGGACAATCTGACCTAAGTAGACATTAAGTCATCACAATCAACTCTGGAATAGTAAATTTAAACTGCTTTAGGATTTTGAACTCTTAGGATTTTGAAAACTTACTGAAAGTTCAAAAAACAACAAAAAAACAATCCAGTAAAAGCCAAGCAATGCAGTAGATATGAGAGAAAGCCAGGAGGTTCTAGATTGTTAGGTCCCAACAATGATGGCGGCAGACTTTGCATATATTTTTTTTTAAGATATATTCATTTTGGATTTAAGGGAAAAAAAAATGTTTAACAAAAGAAATAAATAAAAGCAGAGCTATTCTATAACTTAGCAAGATAAAGTATTTTGTATAATAATCTCATTTCTGTACTTTTTAAACAAGATTGCTGTATCGGTATCTTTGAAACAAGAGATGAGTAAATTTACACACTATCCTATAAACAATTCTTGAAAACAATCTTGAAGTAGACATAAATAATTTTCTAATTTTGCCATTTGACTAGTAATATATATTTTACTGCTAAAATGTATATAAAATGTAAAGCTTTCTTTTTTGTTTTTCCTCTTTTACAATACAGAAACATCTAAATTATGGTACACATTTATTCAATTATTATATATTTATTTCAGCTCACTGAACTTAAATTTCAATAGGAAAGCTGGGTCATGGGATCTCAAGACCACCCCCAGGTTCAGCGATTCACTCGGAAAACTAATGGGACTCAGCATATCCTTGTATTCATGGCCATTATATGTTAGAGCAAAAATAACAATAAGAAGCAAAAAAGAGAGGGAGGGAGGAAGTAAGGAAGGAAAAAAGAAAGGAAGGGAAGGAGGGAAAGAGGGAGACAGATCAACAAATGAAAAAGTGCATGGGGGTGAGTCTAGAGGAAACCAGACACAAGCTTCCAATATTCCTTTTCCAATGGAGTCACACAGGACATGCTTAGTTCTTTAGGTGATCAGTTGTGAAAACACTTGTGAAATGTTGTCAGGCAGGAAAGCTCATTACAGACTCAGTTCTCAGAGATATATAAGTACCTACCATGGCACATATCATAACTCCAGACATTCAGATAAAAAGCCAGTGTTCAACATAAACCACATTTTTTATACAAAATAACTCAAGTACAATGAGCCACCCTTAACCACTTTTGAGGACAGTGGTAACTCTTCTGAAGTTCAAGTCCCCATACCAGCCAAAGGTGAACCTTTCTGGCAAGCCTTTCTAAGAATACTAGTCTTGGGAGTCTCAGGCATACTTTGTTAACGCTTCCTTGCATAAAAAACAGAAGTTAACTTTCATTATATGATTACAAAATTCCTAGTATGGATCACTGGAGGAAAACAAAGGGAAAAAAAAAAAATTCCTTCCTTATAATTTTAGATCAGAGGTATCCAGATGTCAAAACAAAGCAGAAGAATCATAAACATAATTTAAAAATCAAAACACTTTAGGACCCTTGGCATAGGTATTCTGTTCTGTCCAGTCTACATGGACACTGAAAACACTAATCTCATATATGAATGAACTAGTTTGGTGAATCTAAGATATGCCTTTTAAATTGACCTCCAAAACCAGCTTAAAGAATATGTTACCAGTGCAAATATAGATTTCTGAAAGATGTCTCTAACTATGTCTACCATCATAATATTAAAATTCAGCACCAATAAGTTCTAAGTTTTCTTTCTTTGGTAGTTGAGAGGAAGAAGAGTTATGATATATTCCAAACTACAACTGAATTAGAAATATTGTACAATGGGCTCAGTAGTAATAAATGAACTGAATCATCTCAAGTGAATGGTTTGCCTTGAGTCAAAGTACAAAAATGTCTGGAAAAGGGTACAATAAAAAAGGCAATGTACTTTTTTTTACCTCAAAATGTCATCAGACAGACCATAGCACAGATGAAATATCCAGTTGATTAGAGTCCCATAAAAATATAAAGCAGAATTTAATTTGGTGTGTTCCAATAGACAAGGCAGGACTTAGATTTTAAGGTTATTCCACTGACTCAAAGGATTTAAAATCGTCCTTACAAAGTAAAGGGCAACCTAGTTTCCAAAAAACTGAAGGACCTAGACACTAATTTTTAGAGACTAATTCCCAAAATACATACCTCACTAATCAACATGAGTACTTATAAGAAGTATCCTATTTTAGTTATTAGCTATATATCTGAAACTGATTAACACATAAGTTAAACACTAATAAGGTGTCATCAGTATTGTCTGCAGTCAATCAATTAGCTTGCTCTTATATATATTTTTTTTCTGACACTGAAACAAAGTTCCTAAAAAAAATAAGTTAATGAAAAGAAGCTGACTGTCCAATGAATTATAAATATCAAAAATTTTTAAGTCACAAGTATCTGATAAACTCAGTACATTGATAGATAATGTATACATTTAAGGATTTCTAGCAATCAAAATAATCTGGAGTAAAATTGCTTTAGATGTCTGAAACATTCAGCTTGTAATCAAGTAATAAGGATTTTTTAAGGAGAAGTGACAAAAAATTGCAATATTAAAATTTTTAGGAAATATTCCACAAATTAAAAAAAAAAGAAAAAAAGGTTGATTGTCTCATATTCTGCAATGAACTTCATGGTAAAATAAAACATAGCCTAATTTTCTTGGCAAACAAGTATAAGCAGATATAATAATATTAATTTAATAGAATTACATTTTATAATACAAGAATACTTGCCTCATTTTCCATTTGTTTCAGTCCAACATGACTTCCAGTACTTTCAAAATAAGCCACTTAGTCAACTGGATGTTACTAAAATCCACTGCCTTCAAATTAATTCCGACCCTTACTGACCCCCATTGGATTTCCAAGGCAGGACGGCTTTATGGAAGTAGATTGCTCTTCCTTCCACAGAGTTACTGGTGGGTTTGAACTGCTAACCTTCCAGTTAACAGTCAAATGCCCTAGGCACTATGCCACTAATCAAAAAA